TTTAAGAGCGGGACTACCAGGTCAGCCCCAAGCCGCACGCCCTCAAGCGTCCTGCGAGGCACGAGACAGCGGCGGTCCCGTCCTCGTCACTGCCACTCGACGCTTTCTGAAAGGGTCTTACTGCCATGACCACCCTTGTTGGCTCATAGATCTCCCGCCAACAGGGTTGACGCCTTCAGTGCAAATGCAACTCCCTGCCCTCCTCTTCATCATCTTCTGCTTTCCCACTGTGAGAAGCGAAAAGGGGACAGCGCCTGCTACGAGGCCGAGAGACTCAAGCAGTCGCTCCCGGGACATGTTTACTAGAGGCTGCCCTGGAGGCTGGACAGTGGCCACGGAGCGCCGCTCAGTGGGCGAGCCCGTCCCCGGGCCCCAACGGGTCGTTCAGATTGCGGCAGCAGACATCTTCCTTAGAAACAAACTCAACTTCAGTCCTGCCTCAAAGGTGGCACTCTTTTCACACTTTTTGAAAAGGCCTTACCCTCCCCCCATCCTGTGACCCTTGTCCCTTTCTTTTCTCCTCACTCTTACCTCAGAGCCCTCTGATGTCTGTTCACGTCCACTGGCTTTGAAAGTGCTTTAGTGATCAAACTGCTACGTAAAGGTCCAGTGTTTGTTTTTATGCTCCTGTCGGACTTGGCTGTACACACGTCTCTCAAATCCATCCATTTTATTGAAAATGGCTGCACGTCGTCCTTTCTTAAGGCCGTGTAATACTCCATGGCGTGGCTAGGGCCACATCTTGTTGATCCAGCGGTCTGCTGGCAGGTACTCAGGCTGTTCCCATGTGCTCACTACTGTAACTCCCAGGGCTGTGAACCCTGTGGAACACCTGGGTTTTGAGCTGATGGTTTCATAATCTTTGGCCAGATGCCAAGAACTGCTTAAGTTTTTAAACTTAAGTCCAGGTTGCTTTCTGACTCACAACTTTTTGCAGGATCACATGAAAAATACAACCCAGGGTGGCAGATGACACCCGGCCTGTTTCCTCCCCAGCCTTGTCTGGGTCACTCTGAGAACTCAGGGGACTGTAGTCATGTTCTGTTCCTGTTCCCACACCTCTTTCAATTTTTTTCAAGCTTCTCGCAAGGTCTGCTGAGCTGCAATGTCCACGTGAATGTCGGCCTCTGTCCCTCAGGGTGTGGGGCCTTGGGGAGAGCAGGCCTAGCCTTTCGCCGTGGATGAGCTCTGAGAGAAACCTGGTGCCTGGTGCTGCCCCAACACCTTCCCTGGCGGGCTGCCCACTTCCTGAAGGCCAGGGCAGTCAGGCCCCATCCGGGCGGCACTTGGCGGCAGGCCCAGGGGAGGCAGGCATGGGAACACAGCTCCCGCCTGGTGAGCGAGTGGCTGAGGAGTCCGGTAACGAGCCCTGGGGGGCGAGATGGAGCTTCCCACGTCAGCAGCCCTGGGGCCAGCAACTCTGAGGGGAGGAGGCGGGCGGGGAGGGCGGCTGCTGAGGGCCCAGCGCGGGCAGTTCACAAGAATGCGGACCCTCTGGGTGTGGGGGAGACGGGACGCAGGAGAGAGGCCGTGTGGTACCCGTGACAGTCTTCATCTCGGCCAGGAGACGGCTCTGGACTGCAGCGAAGCTGGCGCTGTCTGGTGGGAACTGTCACCGGCTGCTGCGGATGCCAGGACGTGGCCTGAGGACAGAGGCTCGAGCGCCCGGGAACTTGTGCTCACCACAGAGCACGCGCGGGCTTTCGCGGGGGTGTGTCACGCCGGAGGAGGGACGGGACGTGGCCAACACACGTCCTCGAGTGAGCCCAGCTGACAAGCAGAGGCTTGTGCTCCTGGTCACCACCCCGCACGCCGCATTCCCGCTGAGACTCCTGGCCGAGGGAACTAATGTCCGCTGAGACCGGGGGCTTCTCCTAGTTGGGACCTCCGCTGGGTCCTTGTGGGGGGTGCCTCCGAGTCTGGGGGCACGCGCAGGCTGCTCTTTGACGCTTCCTTCTGTCCGGGCTCCCTCGCCCCGGCCGGTCCTGAACGCTTTCCTGACTTCCCGCCGTCTAGAGCGGTTCGGTCGCCACTGATCCTCTCAGAGCAGATCTGCGCACTTCCCGGCCCTGACTCTTCCCCTGACTCGAGCTGGCCTCAGGCCACGGGATGATAATTCTGTAAATATTAAGCCCTGAGTCCCCCCAATATGTGAGCTCCTGCTAGGCACTGCTCATCCGGTGCAGATACAGTGAGAAAGGCCGCCACTGGCCCGACGCTGACGACGGTGGGAAGCACACGTGTGGCGAGAGGCGGTGAGGGGGCAGGAAAGGGACACGGGCTGCAGGGACAGAAGGGTCAGCCCTGGGGGAGGCGGAGACGGCTCCTCCGTGGCAGCGATACCTGCACATGTACAGAGGGTGAGTCAGTGTGCACGTGTGTGCGTGTGTGTGTGCAGGGGGCTGCTTTAGGCAGAAACGGGGCGGACATGAGCAGACTGGGCTGAGGCTGCACTGGGCTTCTGAAGGGTTTTTAGTAGGACAAAAATACAGGTTCTCTGAGGGCAGAACTGTGGGGTGCAGTAGAGGGAGGGAGGCAGCGGGATGAAGGGGGGATGACAGATTTATGTGGAGACGCCACGGGACTTAACTGGGGGGCGACAGAGGGACAGGATGCCTGCGAGAGACGCCTGAGATGAAGCCGACTTCCTGGCTGGCCCTCTGGGCAGATGAGGTGGGTTTCCTCAGGGCGCCGTGTAAGGAGAAGCCCGTTTAGCACAGAAGTGGTGGGCTGCAAGGGCCCGTGGAACATTCTAGCAGAGGTGTCGGGCGACGACGAGGCGGGCAGGGCAGGGCAGGGCAGGGAGAGGAGGCAGGCTGGAGGGTCTCGGCCCGGGAGGGGTGTGGAGCCGTGGGCGCGGCGGGCGGGGAGGGAACCCAGGAGGAGGGCGTCTCTCCTCTGTGGCCTCCCTGCTCTCCCACCGCCCCCACAGGGCGACACAATGGGCGCTTCCGAGGTAACGCCTTTTAGACAGAGTAACCACTTCTCACAGCTTCCAGCGTCAAACCCAGCTCTGGCCCTGCGGCCCGACTTCTCGTTTCCCCCTCTCCTACCTCATTTCAGTCAGGCGGCTCCCGGAGGGCTTTCCCCTCTGGGCCTCCCACTCACTGCCAGCCTCCCCTCCTCGCCATCAGTCCCAGACACCTCCCCACACGCTGCCCATCCCCACTGTGGCCTCACTCCCACATCTTACTCCCTGGGCACCCCGGGGAGACGGCTGCGCTCAGACATTTATCCAGCTTAGGGCACTGGCCGGCGTCCTGAGCTCCCTGGGATCGCTCACTCTGAAGGGAGAGGAGTGTGTCCCGCTCTGTCTGTGCCCAGGGTCCCCACTGGTCCCGGTCAGAGCGACGACCACAGGCTGGCACGTGCCCGGAGCCCAGGCGAGTGGGCGGCAGGAGGGAGAGGGGGCGTGTGAGGCCCGGCGGGAGCGCTGGCGGGAGGGGTGCAGTCTGTCCTGCTGCCATGCCCCAGCCAACGCTGGACTCTGGCCCACAACATTCCAGAAAACAGGAGCCCAGTGGCACAAGGAGGTGCTGCGCCACCCCCAGCACCGCACCCCCTCCCCTCCCGCCTCCCTTGGGTTGGAAGCGCTCAATCTTTCTGCTGCTGGGGTGCTGGCACCTCGTGCCTCCCAGGAGACCCTCCGTCGCGCACCCACAGATGGCTGGTGGAGCGTGAAAGCTTTAGCTTCTGGCCTGAATTTGGGATGAATTCAAAGGGCTCCCCCAAGCCACTCTCCCCACGTCGGCGAGGCTCCCGAGAAGCGTTGCTCAGCCTGCCTCTACCCTCCCACGCCGCCCCAAGCTGCCAATCCCCACGGAACGTCGTTCTCCAGCTGCGCGCACACAGGCCTGCCCCGCCGACTCCCAGGCGGCTCGCTCCTCGGCCCCTCGGAGGCGCTGGGAGGTCAGGAACCCCAGCGGTCACCGGCCAGCCACGGCGTGAGCGGGAAACCGCCAAGCCAGGCTACTTCTTTTTTTGCCTCGTGGCTCTGTTGACTACCTGGAGCACCTACGTGCACTGTGACTCAGCTCTCTGGTCCCTGGCCGTTATGAGTTCTCGTGTTTTTCATTTTGTGGTGTCTCCTCGCAGGACCCACTTCTGCCTCTGGCTGAACACGAGCTTCGTCCCGGTGCCTTGCGTGCCGGCACCTTGCTTTCAGCGCTCCACCTGGAGGCCGCTCCGTGATCCCCACCCGGCCTTGTCTTGCCCACACGGCCGTCTGTCCTCGAGGCCGCCTGTCCTGAGTCTCTCGACTGCCTGCCCCGAAGCCACCTCAGCTCCCATAGCAGTGTGGGAAGCAGCTCTGCTGCTGCCCTCCCCACGAACTCGCCCCACTCCCACCCAGAGAGGGACCGGGGCCCCGTCCACGGAGGGCCGCTGGCACGTCAGGCCCTCGTGTGTGACGTCTGCCCACCGCTGCTCTCACCCAGGTGACGGGAGGCGGGGGTGGAACAGGACCTCCTTTCGCACCCCAGAGGTAAAGCTGACAAAGAGAAGGAAGAGCGGCTGTGCTGGCCACAGACGAGCGAGAGGCCAGCACCGAGGTTTCAGTCTCACTGCAGCACCAAGCGGAGCCTCAGGGTGCAGGGGCAAATGCTTGGGGCGGCCTGCGGCTGGTGACCCGGCTGAGGACACGCAGCATTTATCTGGCTGACTCCTCGGTTGTCCCCCTGAAAATTCTCTTGCCTCATATTCTACTTCAACCAGGGAAAATCAAAAAGTTTTACCCCAACTTTCACTCCAGTGAGCACGATAATAAGCATTTCACAGGAAGACACTGTGGCTTTTGCAAGATGATAAAAACAGATAGGCGTCAGGTATTGTCAACGAGGTTGGTGTTTCTCTAAGAAACAAGGCTTATCTCATCAAAGTGGAACAAGACCAGTGTCCAGTGTTCCGCCTTTCGAAAAAAAAAAAGCAAACGCGAGTCGGCCGCCCTCAGAGACCGACACCCGGCTGGAGTGGCGCCAGGGGCTGCGGGCCCCTGCCGTTACCTGCCGCGGCCGCTGCCGCCGGGCCTGCGCGAACTGCGAGAGCAGGAACTGCCGGTCCAGCTGCTCCACCCTCTGCTGCCTCTGGATGTCCACCGTGGCGCCCATGCCGACCCTGGCTTCGGTGGTGGGCTCTGCAGACGAGAAGATGGGCTCGAGGGTGCAGGAGAAGAACCTGGCCACGCCGCTGGGGACGCAGAGCACCTGCTGGATCTGCAGCACCTTGCTGTTGTAGCAGACGCCGGAAATCTGCAAGAAGAAGTTCCCGGGGGGATGGCTGACATGGAGCCATGTTTGCAAGGACACATTCTCTGTCCCAGTGGCTCAGGTGATGGCTAACGACTACCAAACTGCAGCACACGTCAGCATGCGTTCGGGCAAACTGATTCTGTTCAGGCAGACGAGGGGCAAACGCTCAAGCCCTCGGCACCGGTAAAATACTTTAAAGCAATGTTTGCATTTAACAGTGAAGCTTGAGAGATCTGATAATCAAAACACTTTCATACGGTGCTGGCTCTGTGGTCTCTCCCACTGCCAGATGGGCATCTGTGGGGAAGTGGCAGAGAACCCCGGTGTTCCGTGATCTGACCCGGCCCTGCCCCACACCCGTCAGGCCGACTCCGAGGCTGCACTTTCACCCATCTCTCAGCAGTTCACAATCTGCTTACAAACGAGCCTGTTTTTCTTGTTAAGGTCCTTTATCTGGAAAGAGAAGTCTAGTGACTTCTGGCTAAAAAGGAAGGTGGCCTATTTGTAAAAAAAAAGAAACCTCTGATTCTTGAGACAAGAAGTTAACGGCACCGACTGAGACCTTGCCTGACGAGGCCCCGCTCGGCTGGGCAGCCGAGGCGGCTCTCGCAGCAGTGATACCTGAATGAAGGTCTGAAGAATAACGGGGTGCCAGTGAGTTGGAGAATAGGAGGAAGAACACTTCAGGCAGACAAAACAGCAAATGCAATGCAGGAATGAACGTGGGGGCATCGACCGGGGATTTTACTGGGGACACCAAGCAGCAGCTGGATGCACGTGCCTGGAACCCCTGGTATTGGGCGGACTCCAAATGACGGGACTAGATGAGATGAGACATTTGGGGGAGCTGGAGAGAGTGGGGCGGGGTGGGGGGAAGAGAGGAGACGCGGGCTGAACCCAGGGCCAGCCCAGGACTTGGTGGGCGGACCGGAGAGGCAGCCGGAGAAGAAACCTGAGGGGTCTGCCACCAGCAGAAGTGGAACCGGCAGAGTTTAGGGCGCTGAAGCTAAGAGAACAGTCTGAAGATGGGACCGGTCGGCTCGAACGCAGCTCAGGGGTCAACTAGGAGAAGAAAACAGCCACTGGCCACTGGAGGCCTTTGATGATGTTTAAGTAACATTCTGGTGCAGCCGCAGAAGCACAGTCAGGAGTAGGCAGAAAAGTGAATGGCGGGAGACTTCCGATTTCAGGTCATGTCCAGGGCCCTTCTCTCGAACACGGTACAGAAACAACAAAGAAAATGAAAACAGGACAAACTCCACATTCAGTGAAACTAAGAAGCTGTCATCCTGAACCACAGTAACAAAACGGAAAACACCCTGAGTAATCAGAAGAGCCTCGGCGCAGGTGGAGAAGCGCGGATCCGAGCGACGGCAGAAGGTTCCCGGGCGCCCGGACACGCTCAGCAAACAGGCACCGGGTGGCAGGAGCAGCCGGAGCCCCCGCGGCCGGCACTGCCCACAGCGACACCCTCCCTGCTGGCTCCGGGCTGGGAGCGCCCCGTGGAGGGCGTCTCTGGCCTACACTCCGTCACTTACACTTGCTGAAGTTGGACTTCGCTATTTGGCTTCTGTGTCCCTGCTTTGCGTCCTTTCGTTCTCTTTTCTGAATTTTGTGTTCAGCCCACATTTTCCAATATTTTAATTCATTCGGTTGTTCGTTTTTCTGGCACTCTCTCATTGCATTTTCCCCTCGTGTTGGCCCTAGGGATAACACTATGCATCTTTAACTCGTCACCATGTGCTCACGGCTCATACTGACTGTTGCACGTAAAACTCAGGAATTGCGCAGGAGCGCTTCCACCGAGCACCACCACATACACTTTGTCTTAGACACCACACCCAGATACCCGCTAAACCCATTGGTGTGGTGGTACTTTACATGGTTATGTCTTCTAAGGAAATGAGGGTGCATTAACTTTTGCCTGCACCTAAGGGGTTCACAGTTTTGGGGAGGTGGAGGGGAATACGCTATAGATTCTTTTCAGGAGTTAATGAAGGATAAAGATGTTCAGCCTCTGGCGCAAACCTACCCCCGCCCCCTCCCTGAATACACTCACTGAACTGGGGATAACCTGCCAAGTAGTAAGTAAATACGCTTTGTGCTTATTGACTTAAACGTCTCTCCTATGACTTGCTTCTTATTTGAACGGCTGTCTACAAGTGAAGAATTTTATTGTTTCATCTCTGTGTGCCCAGAACAGTGCCTGGCACATGAGGAGGATCCAGTAAGTATTGTTGGAAGGACAGCGAGTGGATGACACGCCACAAAAATCAATATACCGTCTTAGATCCACTAAAGGAAACCGGGAAGTCACCGGCTGAACCTCTTTTGCGGTCCGAAGTTTGTCCTTTCCCAAGGCAGCGCTCACCTGTGCATCCCCCAGCAGGCGCTCAGGTTGTCGCACAAACAGAGGCCCCTGGTACTCGCAAAGGATTAAATCTAAGGGGCTTGGAGTTTCGTTTCGGTAAGTACTTGGCAGCAGACCAGACTGCAGCGGGGGCACACCTGTCACAGCCGGAGGCTTGCGAGAGCATCTCTCACGTTTCCCGCCTTCAGGGGCTGTTACACTTAACCTCGGTGTCTCATAAGCTGTTTACTGGGACTTTTTGAATGAGAATTTTTTTGAAATCCCTGGACTCTGTGGAAAAAAGAGGAGGCACGAGAAATAAGACTGCTGAGACAATTCAAGGAGCCAGGGGAAATTCCAGAAGGGGCCAGAGTGCCAGGCCCCGGGAGCCTGGAAGCCGGTGGTCACGCAGCAGGGCGCAAAGACAAGGGACAGGGCACGGCCGTGTCCGCAGGCAGGCCAGGTGCCCGCGGGACCTAGAAGCCAGCTAGAACGAGAAGGGCCCTGGCGTGTGTGTGTGTGTGTGTGTGTGTGTGTGTGTGTGGTGGGGGGTGGGGACGCCAGCTGGAGCAGGACCAGGGCATCTGAGCAGCAGGGACCTGGACGCTGGCCAGGAACGGGGATCCAGACGCCAGGGAGCCACAGAGCATTTGGGGCCTCGTGCCGTTCCAAGTCTGGACCACAGAGCCTGGCCACTGCTCCTGGCAGGGCCGGAGGCTCCCCTGAGCAAACCATGGAGATGTTGCCTCATGACACCCAACTGAGAATGTTAAACAACAGGAAACTGTTTTCTTTTAGGCATGAATAAATGTGATGCTGACTATCCAGATTACTAGTCTCTGAGAAAGGGCCTCATGAAAACGACGAGATACAAAACACGAGGAAGGCTCTGGATCAGAGAGGGTAAACCGTCACTGCCCGTCGGTCTTGTTTGGTGTCAGCGCGAAACCACAGCAGGCAGGGGGAGGAGACTCGGCCAGGCGAAGGCGCCCAGTGGGCTGCTGGGCTGTGCAAAACTGCCCTGCAGAGGTTCGGGGACAGGGTCCAGCTCTCGAGAGACCTATCATCGAACGGGACGAAAGGAAACACACAGGACGGCTTCCCAAGACAAGACGGTGGTGGGGGTGGGACACCTGGCTCCTCTGGACCTGGACCCCAAGACCTCAAGGGCATTCAAATCCTGAGGACATCAGACCCGCTCGGGTCTCGGCCACTCAAAGCATCTTTCCTGAACGCCTACGACACGCCAGGCTGCGTTCTAGACCCGAGGCATGGTGTCTAGTGTCAACAAGGAGTCAAAACAGAAAAACCTTGCTCTAACTAATCCTGGACTTTGTTTCCTACCTCGTCACTCAAAACGTTAAATAAGGAAGAAACTTAGGAGATCACCTACCTACGACCCCCTCCCCCAACCAAATATGTGCAAATCAGAGATGCCCGAAGCCATTTCTTCCATTTGTAGTAAATTATGAAATGACACTACTCAAGACGGACAGCACTTGCGGGCTTCGGCTCCTGGTGAAAGAGGCTCTTGACCTGTTCTCTGTCAGGTGCAACTGTGGTATGCGCAGGTGAACTCCCACATTCTCTCTTTCAGTACCACGGTGAAGTACCCAACCACAACTGTGAGTGTTTTTCTGATAACCGGGAAGCTTAATTAGAATAGGAACCGAATTAATTACAACTGATTATAGCGTCTTGGTCTCCAACAAATGGTCTCAGAAGCTGCTCTCAGCTTTTCCTTTAGAAAAATCATGCACCAGGCGGAACAAGCTAAACCACGCAAAGCAGAAACCGCAGGTAATAATGGCTGAACGGCAGCAGAAGTGTATTCCTCCCTGTGGCAGAGACGCTCTCACCATTGCATTGATTTTACTCCCAGAAGTCATCACGACGGAAGAGGAGAGAGCAACACAATCAGCCCCCGAGAGGGCCCTATGGTGGACACCACCATTTCAGAAAATCAGTTTAACGAGGTAACCAACCTTGGTGCCAAAGTTTCTGTCTCTTGCTAAGAAGACAACGCAAGAGTCCCAGTGGGAAAGCTCCTCGAGGCACCCACAGGATAATCTACCTACAGCTTAGAAGCTCAGGTGTCTTCTGGGCAACCTCTACCTTGCCTCCAGCCCTTTCTCCTTTGACTGACAGCACCACTGAACCAGCTTCCTATATTGTAACGATTGTTTCAACGTTTTAAAGCTGGTCTTTTTGTTCTGGTGCATGACAATGCCAGAAACCCAGGTGGAGGGGCCTGGAGCTTGTGCAGGGCGAGGACTAAGCTGCATTCATCCCTCTGAGGAGGCAGTTAAGCACCCGGTGCTCTCAGGAGAGAAAGCACGGCAAGGGCTGGGCTGTTCGCAGCAGGAAAGAGGCCGCAGCCCACTTGCTGCGCACCCAACTCCTGACAAAGGCCAAGGGAGGCCGCTGGCGTGGCTTTCGGCACCTGCGGGGCTTTTAACATTCCTTCGTGGTCAGGCTCGCCCTTAGAGTCATGTCCCAAGGGATGATGAGCCTCACTTATGTGCACTCAGGGGGATGCTGGAATAGCTCTGAGACCCTGGATGGGGACAAGGGATGAGAGCCCCGAGAGAGGCGTCAGTTAGGCGCTGACAGACTGGGCCGAGAAACAAGCACCTGCCGCTGGTCCATC